TGGTATTTTTGAGACAGGGTCTCCCTGTAGCCCCAGCTGTCCTGGAACTCACTATGTAGCCAAGGCTGGCCTTGAACTCACAGAGATCCACCTGCCTCTGCCTCCCAAGTGCTGGGATTAAAGGCGAGTGCCCCCATGCCTGGTGAGGTTTCATTCTTTAAAAAAATACTGTAAAAGTTGAGTCTAATCTCTCCTCTGCTTGGAAATCCCTGGTGGCTCCTGTAACTATCAGTATAGTACTCTTTCAGTAAAATCTGCCTTCCCATCTTTAAAACATTAATTAAACTTTAAAAGTGCTGTGGCATCCTACAGTAACTGGGTTGGTGTCTTGCAGAATGAGCCTTGTTTAGTTTGCTGAATTGCTCCAGCATGGTGGTGTCAGACCTGTTCCTCCACACTGGGAGTTGGTATGCGGCTGACAAGCACAGGTTATGGGCAGTGTGATGAGCTTGGTGTTGCATCAGCCACATCAGAAGGTTGCCCCACATGCAGGTGTTCCATTTCAGTGACACCAAGATTGATCTGATAATGTAGCTATCTCACCAGATGCCTTTTTCCCTTCTCAGCCGTCCTGAAGAAACCAGAACACGGACTACTAGACGCAGGTTGGATTGGACACGTTTTAGTCTGTGACCTCTCAGTATGGATTATTCGAACCAAAGCATCCTTGATGCTGTTGCCAAAACTCTGACCACCTAACCCCTTCCTCTTCTACTTCTCACTGTCCTCTGTGTTTCAACCACACTCCTGCTTCCAGTCCCTCAAACCACCACCTTCCACCCTTCCTCCAGATCTTTGTGACTGCTATTCTCTCTGAATTCCTCTTTCTCCACACTTCCCCAAAACCACTTATCATTTTGATTCTGGTTCTGCTGGTACATCGTTGAGAGACTTTCCATGATTCCCAGAGAAGGCCACACCTTCAAGGCAGAGATCTCATGGTGCCTGGAGACTGTATTTTAAGGAAGTTCACATCACAGTGGTAACTAATGAATTCTTCCACCTCCCAGTGCTTAAAACTCTGCTGTTCATGTCTGAGCCCGAGCAGGAAGCAGAGTTGACTTCATGTTGCCACATCTCCAGAACCCGCCTGGCACTTGGAACACTTCAGCTGGATCAATGAAAGCAGGTTGGCACAGAGGCTGGTGTCCAAGGATTTTCTCTTCAGAAGCCTCTTTAGAGAGAAAGAAAGGCTGTTTATTGTTCCAAGTCAAATTCTGGGGATACCAGGCTATGCCATCCCCATGATGAGTTCAAAGGGACATGCAGGACGAGACACATGGATATTTAAAGTTTCTATTAATTTCTTGATTTTTCCATTATCTGATCAGCAGTGTATTATTTAATTCTATGTACTTTTGAGTCTTCCTAAGTCCTACCTGATACTGATTGCCGGTCTTATACCATTGTGACTGGAAAAGATACAATTTCTATGTTTTCAGGTTTGCTGGGGCTTGTTTTCTGTCCTGAAACATGGTGTAGCCTGTAGACCGTCCTCTATTCACTTGAGGGATGCGGATTCTGTCAGTGGTGGGACATTTGGCTATGTCTGCTTGGTGCATTTGGTCCCATGTTGTTCGAGTGCAATGTTTCCCTAATACTTCTGTGTTTGGATTGTCTGTCCATCATTGAAAGTGGAGCGCTGACGTTCCGTACTGTGACTGTGGTGTAATGATCTCTCTCTTCGGATCCTTTAACATTGGTTCTGTCTGTACTGTGGTCTTGTGTTGGGTGCATTTTAAAATATGTTTTTATTATTTTTATTTTATGTGTATGCGTGTATTGCCTGCATGTAGGTAAGTGCACCCGTGTCATGCAATGCCTGTGGAGGTCAGAAGTGGCTGTCGGATCCCCTGGGACTGGAGTTACAGACAGTTGTTAGCTGCCATGTGGGTGCTGGGATTCGAACCCGGGTCTTCTGCAAGAACAACCAGTGTTCTTAACCGTTGAGCCATCTCTCCAGCCCCGGGTGCATGCATTTTAAAATATATTTTTATTATTTTTATTTCATGTGTCTGAGTGTATTGCCTGCATATGTGTAAATGCACTGATGCCATATAATGCCTGCAGAGAGGTCAGAAAAGGGTGTCAGATTCCCCTGGAACTGGAGTTATGGGTGCCATGTGGGTGCTGGGATTCAAACCCAGGTCCTCTGTAAGAGCAACCAGTGTTCTTAACCGCTGAGCCCTTGCTCCAGCCCTGGTGCATGCATTTTTACAAGTATGTAGTCTTGATACAAGCGTAAACAGCCCTGCTCTCTTTTTGTCCATTTACAAGGAATATTATTTCATTTATTTATTTTATATCTGTGTTCCTTTAAGTGTGCAGGCAATATCTTGTAGGCAATTTATTGTCATGTTTTGGTTTTTTGAAAAACAATCCATTCATGCAGTCATTAATTTTTTATTAGGGGATTAAATTTATATATGTTTAAGGTAATTCTTTTTAAATTTTTATTACATTTGTTTATTTTTACTTATTATTTGTATGTGTGTGTGCACATGCCATGGTGTGTGTGGAAGTCAGAAGACAACTTGGAGGAGCTGGTTCTCTCCTTCTACCTACTGAGTCGCAGGTATCGAACTCAGGTTGTTACTCTTGCCGACAACGCCCTTCCCACTGAGCCATCTCGCCATCCTTCAAGGCAATTCTTAATGGGTAAGGACTTAATGCCATTCTGTTAGCTGCTTTCTAATTTTTTTTTTGAAGTTATTTTCCTTGTTTCTTCCTTTCCTGTCGTCTTTTGCTTTGGTGTGATGGTTTTATGCAGTGGCATGCTGTAAAATTGGCTAAGTTTTTTGTGCTTCCACAAAAAATTGCTGTGAAGTGTGCACAGAACATTTTACATGTGTACCGTCCATTTTAAGGTGAAAACCCTCAACTTTCTGTTTATTCTCCATCACATTTTATGCTTTAGAGCAGAATTTGAATATTTTTGGCATGTATATAACTCACAGTTTATTTTATATACTCGTTATTCATAGGTTTGTGTTTTAACCCTTATTTTAGAACTATGTTTATCTTAAATATCATATTTACAGTTCTAGTGTGAATATAGACATTTTTACCTT